ATTTACAATAGTCTTAACAGTAAATATGGATATTATAGCCATACAATCAGTACTTGAGAAAAGTATGATAAAATTGTAGAACAAACATATGAAGAATTACACATATCAGTTTAACAATATTCCCATCTAAATACATTGACGTCTTTCTTGACATTTCATAATCACAATACGAGGAAATTTTGATGTATTCGTTTTGATTAATATTTATTTATTGTTCACACGATAATAAGTCCACATTTTGATCTACTTTTATTGTGTACATTTACAAACACCATAATTCAATAAACGACAAGTGTAAGATATAAAAAGATTAGTTATACTGACTTTGTATTATTAAGCTCATCATAAATTACTAGATAGGATCTTCGAAATTTCACAGCTCAGTAGATTAAGACATTAGTGGACATAGGCAGATGTCAAATCATGAATAAAAACTTTCGTCTAAATTTGATCGAATAATTTCACAGTATTAGGGCGCCGAGTTAATGTGAGACACTAAAGAGGAAGAATGTATTTTTAAAATCTCAGCGAATGAATTTGAAGTAAATCCAACGTTGAGCCTGGCAATCTGGTCCAAGCTTTTTCAATAAAATATAATCAAACATCAAGACTATCGAATATAAATACGTACAATGTCAAACCAGTTGTATTATTGTGTTATTCAGAAAAAAATAAAATTACTATGCTCATTGAATGAAATCTAGTTTGCTTGTATTTTTGACTAAGTTGTGAAGTTCAATGAGCACTTTTTGTTTTTCTACCAATTTATCGATTTTTCTTTGATGCCTAATTTTCTAATTCCCTAAAATATTATTTTCTTTTGTATGGTGCATTCTTAAAAAAAATTAATAGTTTCAACGTTTCGTATATTCAAATACAACATCGTTTCATCTCAATGAATCGGGATCCAAAGAAATAAATTCTCCATTTCAGTCAAATCCCATAGTATTACAACAAAAGTATTTATTTCGACCATAGTCATTTATATATAACTCCGCTTGGAGTCTATTCGGGGGCTACTGGCGGTCCCAAGTCCGGGTAAAGGAGGAGCATCGAGCATGGGTTTAGCGTTCCCATCCCGTAGAAAACTAACTCGCTAAAAAAACGCTAACCAGAAAAAATCATTCAAACCATTTAAACTCTGCCCTGGGAGTCAGAAGGTCTTTATTTAGAAGAGTTATGACGCCTCATGATGAAAGCCGAGTTCCTTCAGAAGTCAAGAGGCCGATGCCTTTTCTGACAAATAGAGCAACCATTTATTTAGGTACATGGAATGTTCGTACAATGTGGGGGACCGGAAGAGTCTTCCAAATTGCTTCAGAAATGAGGAGATACAATCTAGAGGTGTTTGAGATCAGTGAAACACGTTGGACGCAAGTTGGACAACAGTGACTAGTGTCAGGGGAGCATTTATGTATATATTATATAACGATATTACTTGGAGAATTCTGGTATAAACCAGGAAACATACTTGACAAACGTTCTGTTTGTATTTGAGTTTCTTTCATTTAGAGAAAATGAAAAAAAACTCCACTACAATCATAATCATCATTTAACCCTAATAATTCTAAATGAATGATTTGTACGTACTCTAATTTATTATACACCCTCCCCTTGGAAAGAATTAAATAAACCATATATATCAAAATGAAAGAAAAACTAATTATAATAATAAAAATTTTTACGATTTATACATAGGAATACATGGTAGATTGAATAATGAATCAGATACAGATATAACATCTACATAGAATTTAAATGAATTATTATTTAAATGCATTGGTTCAAATAATTTATTGATTAATTCTAAACCGCCTAATTCATTTGTCATGAAACTTAATGCTGCTATTATTTTCTCCACATTATTATATGGTACAGCGAGTAGAATAGACCAAGATATGCTAGGAGCATTTGTTGAATTGGTCAACTGATGTTGATGATTAACATCATTATTAACATTCATATCTGGATGACAAAATAATAAATCATAATGTAATATTGGTAAACCAGAAAATTCACCAAATAAATTTTTAATTGTTATATCAATAGCATGTCGAATAGTAAAACATAATTCAATTGATGTAAGTGACATAATCAGTTGTTGTTTATTTATGGCATTTAATACACCATCAAAATCAATAATACATAAACGTGCATAGATATATTGTAAATTATCCAAGGAGTATAAACATTTTTCTCGTTGAATTTGTCTTTTACTAGAACAATTTTTATTATTATCCTTTAATGAATTTAAATCTATTTCGTAATACATATCTGTAAAATAAAAAAAAATAAAACAAAGAAAAAAAATGAGGGAAATCGGATTTCAAAAAACAAACAACCGTCATGTTATCATTTTTGTTTGAACGTTATAAAACAGAAACGTTTTGAGTAGTGTACATTTAATTAATGAAACTGATGGAATTAGTCGTTCAATAACAATGTAAACACATTGACATATAGATTTTAGTGGCCCTGAATCGAACTCCATTTATATCGGACAAATGATCAATTATTGAATGATTGTTGTTGAAATATACATTCTGACTATTCTTGTATATAATTATCGACTTAAATTGCATTAGTGAATAATGGAATTAAATAAATTAAATATGAGAATGGATTTTTGAATACGTATATTTTCTACAGACAATCAGAGGGGTGAAGAGGAATGATGTACAGTGGAGAAGACGTGTGAACCAACTCAATTTAATCAAGTTTTAATCGGTATTTAGTCACACAAAAATAAGCTATGGGTTTGTGATGAGTAGGATAAGATGTAAACACATATACATTCATATAAAAACATTCAGGGTTGATAAGTGAATAATTAACAAGGTAAAAATGTGATTCAAGCAGAATGAACAAACTGATTTGTCCGGAAGCCAGAATAAGCTATGTGGGCTTGCCTAACACTACAAGGTATAAGGATAAATTCCATGCAAAATTATGATCTAGGCAAGTAACTTTTAACTTTTAAGGATGTCAACTTGATACATGTCATTTCGTGTTTCAGAACTTCTATGCCCTTGTAATTGACTTATTATAGTGAATATCAGAAGCGCATAAAAACATTAAAATATTAAGTTACCTTCATTTTAATTTGAGTAGCCTCTACTATATAAAAGGTAGAAAGCATGAAAGATGTACTGTCTGAGTGACTCATTTTAGAACTTCGAGGTTTTCAGTTCGAATTCACTTAACCTTGCTAAATATAAAGCTCATCTTAAGATGGTGAAGATTTGCAACTTGAGTGGATGACTTTAGTGGAGTCTCCTCCTTAGGAAAAGTTTATGCTGTCCAGAAAAATAATGAATGTTTCACGATAAGGCTACCGAACTCAGAGGATGAAACTCCACTGAAATTTTAACTAAAAAAATAGACGATTGCTGAATGCTTTCAGATTTTGAGTGCTAATCCAACTGCTTAGATCAATACTGTCGAAGAAAAAAGTGTTTATTGAAAAAAGGACTCTGCTTCATTCATATTAATAAATGATGTCCATGTTTAAACGAAAAATCTGTTAAGGATCCACATTCCAACCAACTGTACAAAAATCTAGTGAACATATGCCATTTGAAATAACATGCGACTAACAAAGACGTTGTACATATTTACACTTTTATGTGTTTAAATCGTTATATTCTAAGAAATTAGAGATGTACATTTCCCTTTTTACAGTTACTATAAATGGTTTTCACCTAGTTCCATGTCTGCAAGAAATTCATCGAGTAACGTTAGAAGCACAAAACGCAAGAAAATTTATGCTTGTGTAGAGCGTTAGGGATCTGTTTTTTAATAAAAAACAGCATACGAACTATGATCGACGTATTTTAAACAAATGAGACATTCAAGGACATCAGTATAAAATCAATGTATGAGTGGAGGTAGTTCATACGAAGATTTGAGCCTATTTTGTAGACTTATGTCCGTTTTTAGCAATACATGTCTGCAATGTCAATCAAAATTAATACTGTTTCGCCAATTTCAACTTGTGTAAAAGATTGGGCAATTTAGAGAAGTTACTTGTCCAATTATTAACTGGTCTTCCTTTAAAAAATCCAACTCAACTAAAATTTCACTACGGAGTAATTGGAGTCATTCTTTGTCGTCAGAATAAAAAAAGTAATAAACAGAATACGATCACTTATGACGCGAGTTCATAGTTTCTAAGGAGAATGTGCCAATATTTGGAAATCCAAAGGGTAATAAAGTAAACCAGTAAAGCCATAATAGCCATCGAACTATTAGTAGAGTACGATATTATTCGTTGGAGCCTTTGTTCATACTTAGGACTTAAATATAGATAAATGAAAGCATTTACTTTTAAATATTCTAGTTTATGTTCTAAAGAAACAAGGTTTGACGACCGTATTTTAGTCAAGCATTAACAAACACGAATGGATGCCAAAAACAATGAGTTCTCTCTGGAAATATCTCTCATTTTTGGGCATTATATAAGTAAAAGATGATATTTAAGCGCGAAACAACCGACTGATAAGTAAATTTCTGCAGAAAAATTGAAACTAATAAAACTCAGTAATGTTTGTATGTCGAAAGAGGAAATCTGATCAGACAAATTTACAATGTTATCGCAGTTCTATATCATATTGTTCGTCCAACAATTTTGAAATATCTCTGAAGACAAATAGGAATAATTATTAATGACTTGATTGAACATTGAGGAACATTTTCAAGTGATTGTTTAATAATTTCCATATTAGAATTTAGAAATCCCGGGTTAGGTTTCAGACAATTACTATCTCTATATTGAAACATATCACTTAGTTTTATTATTGAAGTAAACTTATTATAAACTGGTTGATCTAGGACAGAACGGGTTAAAAAGTCATTACATTTTTTTACTGTCAATTATGACGGTTTACTGTTTTTAAAATTCTGAGTCATACCGTTCTTTCGTATACATGTGGTAAAGTAATTGACTACCTAAATAGATATAAAGTAGTTAAAATCACAATCACAAATATTTAAGAAGCAATGATCATAATGAACATTTATTTATTGAAGCAAAGGAAGTAAGCATGGAAAAATGACAATACACTGATTATTCATTAAATAAGTGATCAAAATGACAGACAACATGAAAACGTTATGATAATGCAAACATGATTAAAATTCGGGATAAAACATTTAGGGAAATGAACAAACCGATAATCCGGTAGCCGTTAATAAAGATCAACAACTACGTTGCACGTTTAAATCAAACGAATCATAAGATATACATATTGCAATTGTTAGTTAATGTTGAAAAGTAAAAAGAAAGCTCAACCAGAAGTACCTTCAAATAACTAGCGTATAAAGTTTGTTCTTACTACTGGTCAAAAACAAATTTAACGCCCATTCTATGATATCTCTGAAGGTGGGATGAATAGAGAGTGAGGAATTCTGGCAGAGTTCGGTGTAATCAATAAAATACCTCCACAAAACAAGAAAGGACAAATCAAAACAAAAGAGAGGACAAAAATTACAAGAGAGAAAGGTTTGATAAAATTGCACAGAAGAAAAAATAAACACAAATAACTATCAATGAGTGAAGTAAAACAGCAGTGAAAACGAACGAAGCAAATATTAGTAGACTAAGACAATAAAGAATTTAAAATCAAGATGAGAATGACTGTCATAATTTAAAATATTTTAGTGGTGATTGGTGATGAATAATGTAGTTGATAATTACTAACAGCTTGATAGCATTGAAACATACACCGTTTTACACACAAATAAATGTATATGCAACTGATGTTCTTCGTTATGATTGCCTAGAAGATTAAAATGCTTTAGTTTTATTACTTAACTTCCTCACCATAGAATATGAGAACATGAATAGCGTAACTTCAATTACTGTGTACGTGTGTGTGTGTGGATGACAGTGAGATAATGACAAACAATTATACTATATTAGCTATCAGTAAACAGTAAATGGATTAATCAGGGTATAAAACAATTAAAAACCTAAATTTAGGCATGACAGTTGCATAAGTTGTAATGACAAGAGAATGCTACTATTTAAAGTGTAATACTTGTAAAATCATTGTGTGTGTATAAATATCAATATTACGATTAAAATAAGTAAACACAGCTACAATGAAACGTAAAATCATTATATAAGCAAAGCAATGAGTAAGATAAATATAAAAAATTGATGAGATGAAATGTCAAGAATAGACACAAGTACACATGAAAACATGCAGATACGAAAAGCATACATTAACAATAAATAATAATGATGGGGACAACAACAATAATGAGAACAACAAGCACTAATTAAGATGAGTAAGCGAGAAGAAGAAAAACAATAACATTAAACGGATGCGATGAAAAATTACGCTAAACAAAAACAGTATGACTGTTACACATTCAATGATGTAATAATTTCCTAAACAGTTCAACAATATCCATCGTTTAAAACCTCCGTGCTGTTCATTTTAAATTTCAGCTACAGGTAGACCATAACGTTCAGCTAACGATATACACGATGTCATTGATTGCGGATCCTCAATATCTTCTAAACCAACTCCGTTAATAATTCGACGTGGTGGTAATGCTGGTGGTGGTGTACAAGTTGTGTTCGGTATAGGAACAGCTGGTTTCACCATTGTATTCATCATCATTGCCATGTTAACATTATTCATGAAATTGTTTTGTATCAAACCAATAGCTTCATCATATCCTGGTGGTGGATTGTCTTCATCAACTGGTACTTGAGTGTTAATATCATTATTAGTGGTAGTATTTGTAGCAGTAGTAGTATTAATGCATGAATCTAATCTCCTAATGTTATTATTGACTATTGGAATTGGAGACTGTAAACTACTCGGTGTTGTTTGATTTTCTCGAAATGTATCCATACCTTCTGTGGCAGCAGCTAACAAAGCCATAGCAGCTTGTTGATCAGCTTCAGTAAGTGAATCAGTTCCAACGGACGTTGGTGACATAGATAAACAACGATTATTTGATATTGTTATTAATGCATTCCCATTATTATTATTACCAGAATTTGTAGTATTAGTGTTAGACTGTTGTTGTAGAGGTTGACAATTTTGTTGCGATGAACCAAGTGGAATGGGAGCAGTTTGTGCAGTAACAACGGCAACAGATGTTTGTATTTGTCCATTCACTACTTGTTGTCTTCGTTGATCAGTCGGTACTGGTTGTTGTACTTGTGATGATTGTGACTGAAATGGATACTGATGATTAACTGGTTGTTGATTAAAAGGAACAGGTTGATTTTGTTGTTGTGTTTGTGGTGGTAAATTTGAAGCCTGTTGAAGATTCATTTGTTGCAATTGACATGTTGGGGGAGGTGGTGGAAGAGGAAACTGTTGTTGCTGTGATTGTTGTACAGACTGTTGTTGCTGTGGATGAAACTGATTAGAAACAGGTGTTTGGTTAGCTACTAACTGTTGTTGTTGTTGCTGTTGAAGTTGGTTCTGAAATTGAAAGTTGGACGGTTGCTGCTGCTGTTGTTGTTGTTGAAATGATTGAGATATTTGTGGTTGTGGTTGGATCAAATTCGTTTGAGATTGTTGGGTCGGGGGAAAATATTGCGATTGTGCACGTGGTTGATGGTGTTGTTGTTGTGCTGGTGGTACTGCTGGTTTGTTGTATACTTGACCATTTGAATTTAATTGGTTTATTTGTTGAGTATTAGCCTAGTATATGAAAAAATTCAAAGACAAATAAGTGGATAGTAATCTACAGAATATTTTACTAATAGTTCACTGATTGTAAGCAATTATTAGAAAGTAATTCATGATGGTGTTGTCTGCTTCAATCTTTCCATTGAAGATTAGGACGGGAATTGATGAGTCTCCTATTGGCATATGTGCATCCTGTGAGGATTGTTTCGCTACTACCTGCATCCAAGAGATGTTCACTCTGAGAATAAGGCAATATAGAGATAATACGCACAAGATACACATATGCAAATAAGAGACTAATCGATTACAGTCCTAAATATCAATCGGAAGATTCGGACAAACAATACATAAATAAATAAAAACTTCACTCCATCGCACAAGCATGTGGTTATTTGGACTCAGTAGCTAAGTGAATAACGTGATGGCGGGTGGAGCGAAAGGAAATGAGTCCAAGTCCCGGTCAGTCAGCTACAACATAGGACCCGGCACATATGTGCATCGGTCCAAATCGCCATAACTCATTAGTACGATAAGATGAACATCGGATTCATAGAAGTGGTTAATTCAGTGGTGGTAATATATAAAAGAAAGATTGTATACAAGGACATAGTGTGGTGTGTGCTACTTATATTGACATAAGTAGTATATTTATAATGGATTTCATACATTATCTTCATAATTTAACCAAGAAAACAAATAATATTTACACACGGGTTATGACTTAACAATTAATAAACTTGTATTTATCTACTGGATTAATACTGATCTTATGTACAAGTAATTCATTTATCTGAATTTAGATAAGGCTTATCAGAAGGAACGTAATGTATTCTCATAACTTAATAGACAAGAGAGGATTTTTAGATCGTATGACTTTTTAAACTTAACAGGATCAAAGAAAATAATTTATAGAAATTAACAAAAGTATTGACTGATAATTTCGTTTGGAAATCGGCATTAGCTTGGAAGTCAACAAAAAGAACGATGCACAACACAACTATGCTATCGTAACTTCGTGCTGAAGTATAGTTGTCTTCATTTCTAACTTCGAGTGATTTGTGCAATGCAACCCTTACCGATTGTTATCAGTGAGTAATTACCTCAAATATAACTTAGATGATTTCACAGGTTAAGTTTAAAAACTCGCTCATCAAACTGTTTAGTGGTATATATATATATATATATATATATAGTACTGCAACTTCAACAACATAAGTATTTTAAAAACTAACACTGAATAATTTGCTTTGCAGAGTTCCTAGCACTTAAATTACTGAATAACTAACACTGATTGTGTTTACGGTTCAAATTATTTTTTAATGTCTTCACTTTACGTCTTTTTATGATATAAATCATCTACCTCGGAAAAAAAATACAACATCACTGAAATCTTCCATGAGAGCTTTAAATAATCCCCGTCGTCTGTCTTCTCAGTTCAAAAACATTTTTTACTTACATTGGAAAAATTTGACTGAGCAATGTGATTTGCTTCAGAACCATAATTTGGTGCCATAGATTGTGTCATCAGCATTGGAGATTGACTAGCTGTCATCAGTGCCATAGAGGCAGATTCTGAATAATAATTATAAGTAGAGAAAAACAGGATACAAGTGAAATAGTTATCATAGCTATCAAAAAGGAAACTTCACGGAAAATTACTAGGATAACTTTCATGACTGACCAATCACTGCGTAGCGATCAGTGATAGGAATATCAAGTCCTTCTTAGTGCTGGTCGCTGTTATCACTTTTACCCCTTTCAATTATCACGTGGCAAATGGTCAATTAGAATGTCAACTTGTATGACCTTGTACCTGTGCTAGACCAATGACACGCCAACCAGCACTGACAGCCTTGAAACAACTTTGAATCCGTATTAGCCCTCAAAATATTAACTTATCATCTAGACCTTCCCGTTGAATCAAGAACAAAAATATCAACCTCCTCTGTATGAATCGTATATTTCAGGCACGTGGAATATATGTGAATATATATATATATATATATATATATATATATATATATATATATATATATATATATATATATATATATATATATATATAACCTATTTACTTAATAGTTATCCAATAGGAATATATATTATAATAGTCCATAAATAATCCCTAAAAGTTCCCGTTCATTTATTCTTCGTTTGGGTGTGACAGTCACATTCGTTCTAAGAAGAACTTGGTATAAATGACAATGATTTTTATTAAGCGACCATTCAACTGTAAATACAACTCAGTTCTGCAAGAGGTCAGTCACAATCCGGATAGCTCAGTGATAGCTTCACGCACTGTGGAGATGGGTGACAGAAGATCGGATCCGCCAGAAGATATTACTTCCTTCAAGATCACATGTGCACCCTGCTGATGAGTGCCAAACAACACGCAACCTAAATCCAGGGTTTCCGATAGACTCGAATTAACCACCATCTTATATTGGGATCAATATGAACCGAACAGGAATATGTGGAAGAATAACCTGAAAGTAGAATTCCTTAAATGACCTTAAATGTTATGAAGAAAACTCCAAAAGAGTTTACAATTTTAATTGGCAATTAATCAACAAAAAATAAGAAAACCAATCCGTTTTTCTTCGTAAGCGCAACATACCCCCGAAAACTGGATTCGTTTGGTAATTATAAGTTTCATTTTGTTGTTGACTTTGTGACTGTTGTTGAATAAGTTCATTTGAAACTAACGGCATTGCATTTTGACCAGTACGTGCAACAGTAGTAACATTTGTACCACAATTATTCAATGAAACTGTCCCATTAACATTTGTTAGCATAACCTGACCATTTTGTGCATTTGATAGATAATTTGTGTTTGTATATCCAGCATTATTATGATTATGACGAAGTGTGTTACCGCCTAAAGTATTTCCAGAATAATTAAAGGCTACTACACGTCCACCTGGTACAACTACATCAGGTAAATCCATTACATCAGCATTACTCAACATCAGATGATGTCCACCACCACCATTCAATAAAGTACCAGTTGCTGACGGTGAATTAAATTGTTTTGAACGCAACAAACTTGAACTACCACGAAAACCATTTGGATCATCACATATTTCTTTGCCACCGATGTAATACCATAGATTTGTTGAAAATAATTTGCTATTCGTATAGTTTGAGTGCATAGCATGATGACGGCGACGACAGGCCCAAATCAGAATAACCAAAAACAACACTGGTATTAATAAACCTAAGATTAAAGCACCAACAAATGTCAATCCAAAGTATTGTGCCCAACTCCATTGACTTGGCAATGGTGCAGATGCTTTCTCCAGAGCTATTTACACGAGAAAAGTAGGGGTATAAAAAACATTTTATGATATATTCATAATACTAAAGATTTTGATTTATTAGATAAATGGGTGAAATTGAAACAGTAGTACACTAATGATCTGATTCATTTCCAAAATGGAATGATTTCAAGCTAAACGTTACTTAATGTCGACCTTCACTGTTATTTACATCTAGTCATGATAACATAAACAACCTTGTACTGAATCAGTTAGTAAGGATCTTAAATATAAGCTATTGTTTTTAAATTTAGCAATAGAATAAGCTTGAAGTGTATGAAGCAGCAGGAAATTTTTAAAAGCTACAGTTATGCTGTACCTATGACACTAATGTTGAATCCACTATTTTGTGGTGATCGCAAAACATCTAAATCACTTCCGTGATAATAGAACCTATGGAAAAACTAGCTACTTAGAATAAATAAGGTAATATTTCCAGGTGTATTAGCAAAGCTGTTTGTGAAAAGTGACTTTTTTAAAAGTGATTCTACTACAGTTCGAAAAAAATGAGTAACATACAATACATTATACAGTTTAATACTGAAACGAAAAAGTCTTTTAGAGAAAATGATTTACAAATTTTTAAATTTTCGAGGTAGTTCACTAATTGTAAATAAATTTCATGTATTCAGTTTAGATAGTGACATTTTTTGTACAGGTTGGTGATACTATTCAACAGAAGTAGGATGTGGAGTAAAGTTTAGGTCTACGACTTAGTGGTTAGAACCATGTGTTTCACACACGAATACAAAAAGAGAGAGGTTAAATGAACTGCTACATATATATGACTGTATTCTATTCAATGAAGATTTTATTTATTTTTACAGAAATAAACTACAGACGACATAGTATAGTTCCGTGCAAAAAAGTAACAACATTAATATACTATGCTCTAATGAAAAAAGTTATCATGCAAAATGATTTAACTTTATATAACCTACCACTACATGGTTCAGTATAGGAAGTAATATTATCGACACAGATTCTAGCATCTGGGTAGCCAGCAGGAATTGTACCTTCTAATATCAGCTGCAAGGTAGAAAAAATGTAGGAAAAAGTATTTTTAAAGATATATATATGATACAGATTGTTAGTGAGGTGTAGAAACTATAGCAAACATTTGGGCACTTTTTCTATCGATAATGAGACTGAGAATAGTTTCGATTGTCAAATGACTTGACACAAGCATAGGATGATTATTATTGTTGTTTTATATAACCGTTTGGAATAAACTAAGCCTTAATGTAAGTGTAGTAATATATTTATATACTTTTAAATGTCCTAACATATTGCTTTTACTTCAGAAGGGAGGTATTTATATTAGGTATAGTGTATTGGTTGGTGTTTGAACTTAGGTACTAAGTGTTATATGTACTGCCAAGTTCGTTCACATATTTGACGAAATAATAATAAGTAAGTTACTCGAAAAAGAACTCGATATGAACAGGTGGATTCGGAAAGTCATTTTTTAAAGCACTAAAATGTTTAATGATACAAGATCTATGTGAAAACTTATGAATCATCCTAATACTGGATAACTATAAAGTGAAAATTTAATTAGTATTTTTCTAAACATAAACCAAACATATTGTAAATTATATCAGACTACTGATATGTTTGGAACCAGTGGTTAACGGTTTATAAGTCAGGTGGTCGGAGGTGATCCAAAAAGTAATCTTGAACTCGGGTTTTGTGTAAGTTGGCATTCGTCTACAAGACGTATCCGCGATATTGATAAAACTGATACCGTCTGTTAGAGCCGAACTATTGTGAATCATCTGTGAAACTTTGTACCTTAATGAAGAGTGGTAGAGAGCAATGAACTTAGTCTAAGGATTCTTTGATGACGATTTTCAACTAACTAATATCTCAACATTATGAAAGAGATATCGAGTGAATCTGACGTGTGATAAAATCCTAACTTGACCGACATAATTCGATTATCACTGAAGGACTAGACAAACATCAGATTAGACATTATTTAGTGATCACTCAATAGTAAAATAAGTAAGATAATAATCTATGCGACTAAACGTAGGTGATCCACTACGTTACAGATTATATGTTGTAGTAAGAATTAACGAAAATCAACACTATGCAAAATGATGAAAATAAATAACAGGATAATGACTTATTTCATACTGATAAATTTTATTTTCTAGAAATTGCCTTTTTATTTACGTATGAAACAATGTTTTCAATACTACTGACAAAAATAAATCAGCTTTTCAATGACGGCACTTTAACCGGATCCCAAACCAAATCAGTGATGCACATGGGCTCCAGTATCCTGCGGGAACAAATGGCGTATGAACCAATTTTCGGTCACAGGCTTCCATGGGACTGCATCTCCTTACGATGCTCCACTGCCTTGTGGATCAGACCTTCAGGTCGGAGGCTCGAGGAGTGGCCCCCTAAGAAAACCACCTGCTTCGGTTTGAGCACCCGGGTAGTATCACAGCCCTCACACATATCGAATGAGATTTGTGTGGCGCATATGTATTTGGTACCTTCTTGTACCAATATCTATGTGTTAAAATAAATAGATCAATGACTGGTAATATCGTTTATGTATATGAAATTCCGTATTTGTGGAAAAAGAGCTCATAAACCTTAGTCACTAACTCAAAAAAGTGTAATAAATTCCCACAATAATAATAATCAATAATATTAGTAATAACAATTATAATGGTAATAATAATAGTGATAATAATAGTAATAGTCCTAATAATAATAATAATAATAATAATAATAATAATAATAATAATAATAATAATAATAATAATTCATTTCAGTTCCAACTTGATAAACTACACTTTATATGTGACAGTAATCAATACTATTTAGCTAACCGAACCAAATATTGTGTGATAAGGTTCAAATGTCATATATTGGAGTGTTTCAATAATTACGTCACAATTCCAAACCAGAAAAAAAGCTATAAGGACTACTTTAAATATTAGGTACGAATTAGAAATGAGAGATAAACATAAAAATAATTGTGCAAATATCATGTAAGCATTAAAAAAATTAATTATAGTTTAAACTATGCTCAAATTAATGTACTGCACTCTTCATTGGCATTGAAAAAGAAAAATTAATTACTCAGGAAGAAGATTTTTGAAACACTTTAAACGACTTAATATGTAAACCTATTGATATAGACTTAGGTACTCTTAGCATAACACAAATAAACACACAACACTTTTAATTTATGATAAAAACAATGATGATATTACGAGAAATGACTATTAGGATAAAGAAAAAAAACTAAGAGGCAAACGAAAAAGTGGAGTTGAGGAACAAACAAAATAAATTAGGAAGAAAGAAATATAGATGGAAAAAGAATGGAATTTAACTAACTATGAGTCATTAAACCACTCTACCTTGAAATCTTGATCAGTTGAATTTAAATTCACTACAACTGTAAGCCATTTTGTTGTTGTGTGAATAAATTGTTTGTCATTAGATGAACTCCATAATTTCACGTTGCCACTAGACACATATATGATATATATATTTATATACAAATACACAAGAAACATACCAAAATACACCGAATTGTTTAGTCTCTGGATCAAGGGATGGTTTACAAGATCTATATATACATAATAAGATACATTAGAAAAAGTGTGAAGAAATTGTGCAAATAATTGCTATTTAATTAATATGCAATACATAGACCTATTACTTGTTTAACGAGTTGAAACAGTCAGTAGTGAAAAGAGAAAGCGAAAAAATAAACACATCAATCATACACTCTAATTCAATATACTTTCACTCAACAATACAACAAACGTATCAGACACTTTTGTCTCTCTATACAAACACATAAAAAAACTTCAGAAGAAAAATTGTTTTATAAATTACTTAGAAGAAAAACGACTTAGCTAAATCAGATTTAGACGATAGGGAATTTGATTTAAAACTGCTATCGGAAAAAAAACTACCTCTTACAATTTATTTCCCAGTTAATCGAGTAGGCAATAATAGGAAGATAAACACATGAACAAATAACAACATAACTGAAAGATAATTTACATTATGAAATAAAGATAGTATCCTGAAAATATCATTAGAAAAACTTCAAACAGTAGTAACCGAGAATATGAAAAAGTAATCAAACTATTTTGAGATATGAGGAACCAAGTGATATCATTAGCTTTAACAATAAATGTTTAGATAAAACTTCAGGAAAAAACACATTGTAGTTTATATAAGTAAAGGTGGATGGTAACTAGCAGTGGAATTTAGGATATGGGTTTCGTCAACTGGGTGTACCTGCATCCCATGGTTAGTGTTCACTTCAGGACGTGGACTCATTTCCTTTCGCCCCACACGCCATCTCCTTATCCACTTAGCTACTAAGTTCAGATAGCCATATGCTTGTGCAGCGGGGTGAAGTTTTAATTTGTTTATGTATTGTTTGTCTGAATCTTTCGATTGATATTTAGGACTGCAATCGATTAGTCTCTCATTGGTATATGTGCATCTCGTCTCGATATCACCTTAATTTACATCAACTCTGTAGTTACATCCACTTGACGAGTCCCAAATAAGACGAAACGCGCATCCTGGATTCCACTGCTGTCACCATCCATCTTGTGAATTAAGGCAATATTGAGACAACACATACAGTATGCATATATGTCAATAAGACACTGATCAGTCGCAGTCCTAAACATCAATAGAAAGTTTCAAGTTAACACTACCACGTAAATCATAGTTGATAATTAAGCTCATGAGCAAATAATGAAGAAATAGAAGAGCTATTCACTGTGCTCTGATCATTTGCGATAATAATCCTTAATCCTGTTAACTTAAGACAACACGTATTATTTAATAAAGATCAAAGTGTTGAGAATATTAGTTCCTTACTTAATCATAACAGTCTTGTTTTAAAATCATTGTAAAAAAAGCTATATGAATATATATATTCAAATAAATTGCTAACATAATGAGAAAATATCAGAAGGTACCAATTAATGATCAAGGAATGTAAAATGAATAACTAATAGAAGAGTTAGTGATTAAATGAAACAATGGAAAAAAAACTAAAAATCTAGGCTGCAAATTAAAAAATTTATGATCTGCTTATCCTTGCAGAAGATATAAATTAATAAATAATCTTCAACTAAATGGTTCTATAGAAGAAAAAGCAATAATCAGCGCTTAAGCAGTACAATTCCAGTACATAAAGCGAATTCAATCAAATGTTATTTATCATCATCATAAGTCGGGTTTGGTAAGTGAAGAAAGACAAACACAACTAAATGATGTAAAAGAACTTTTTGTCTATTCTACATTTTTGTGTTGATACAATCATGATGTTGATTTTTGGTTCTTAATAACATAAGATTAAGTAAGTGTATCTGTGGTCATGTGATTTAGTAATAACCTTCAGTTATCACATGAATGTATTGCTTTAGCTAACAGGATAATGATGTTAAAATCACTATAATTAAAATATCTCATAAATTCCCATAATCACCATACCTTATAATCTGTATTTGTTGGAGGTAAATCAATCATAACTTTTGACCATTCATTAGATGAAATTTGATTCCCAGATTTGAATAAACCTTTATTATCACTAGAAAATATAATTTATTTTCATAAAAAGAAAATTAATGTAATTCTACCATGTTAGAGATGTATCACCGTTTAATCCTTTCTGAACAGTAATACATGATCTGTAGAAATAAAACAAGTCAACAATATATTTAAAGTTTATAGCTTCAACTATTACTATTAATACTAATTAATAAGGATGCAAACAAATTGGAAATTGAAAGATAAACCATTAATAAAAAAGAGGGAAAAGTAAGAATAGATATTTTTAATTAAGACAAAAAACAGTTGCAACTATCAAAATTACTACAATCTCCATAAACTCCATTCTGATAATACGTCACAATTATAACATACAAAGTACAACAATCCCAACACATCTATAAATTTTACATATGTATAACAACAGTATTCAGAAGAAATCCATATGAAGAATGGTAAAATAATAATAAACAGAT